TTAGAAGGGGGAAGGATGATTTTTCTGTATTATGTGAATTTCTCAGCAGAGAATTAGGAAAATGCAAATGAGAGGTAAAGGACCTAAATATACATAAAATAAATTCAAGGAATTGGAGAATGGCGTCCTCTCTCAGTCTGGCTCTTTAGTGTCATTGTTTTGGTATTTTTGTGACTTCTTAGACTCAAATATATCCAGAGAGGCAAAGGTTGGAGCCACATTGAAATTTTGTGCTGCTCTTGTTTTTTGTTTTTTGTTTTTTGTTTTCAGATGACCTACTACATTCACCATTACCAGCAACATTCTCACAGTTCAGAAAAGTTCTATTAAATTTTTAATACACTGTCTTTTTCGATGGCAGAGAGCCCCTTTTGCTGGATATCAGCTCTAGACACATGAATTATATATCTATAAATACACTCATAAAGCAAAAAAGCAGGGCAGCCTTCAGGGCTAAAATAGACCTTTTATATCCCTAGTGATCTCTCTAGTTTAAAGAAAAGCACAACCCTGTCAAAAAGGGGTATATATTCCTGATTTAAAATGCTAACGTTAAGGAATAAAGATAGTTCTTATTCCGAGCCAAAGAAAAATTCTGGGGATGGAATAGGAAATTAGGGTGTTGATAGCCTGCAGGGTTTCTGCCTGTAGCCCCTTATGATTTTAGGCTTCTTGCTTTTGTGAATACTTTTATAAGCCTAGACATCTGGTAGATCCCTGACTCCGTAGTCTTTGGGCATTGAAAAAAAGTATCAGCTGCTGCTCTAGCATTTCTGAGGATAATCACTTTGGATTAAAACAAATAAACATAAAATCTTAAATAGCTTTCCACAATCTAAGTTATTTCTCTTAAGGATCTAATTTTGAGAGAAATGTATCCCTCATCTCAAAGGATGTGTGCCCTTGGACTCCCTAGGACACTATAAGCATCCTAAATCTTAAAGATGGGAGTTGATATTAAAATTGATTATACATGCCAACTCACACACACACCTCTCCCAGGCACCTTGCACATTTACAGTTCTTCAAAATTTTCTATCTAATTTTCACTGCAATTCCATTCATAATAGTTTCCATATCCTAATTGACTTCCTTTTAAACTGCAGACATTCTTCCAATTTCTTGAGATACCAAGAAAGGGGGTGGATTATGAAAGCTTTTCTCCCATTTCATTGATGAACCTACCACCAAAATTGGGGCTCACTTTCCCTGACAGGGGGCATAATTTATCATTTTTTATTATTGCTGCCAAGATTAATAACAAAATGGCAAAGCAAATTGAAGATTAGTAATCTGGGCAGATTCTTTGACTTCAACTCTGAAATAGCATACCCACCATTTTAATTTTAAAATAAGCTCTTCTCATTTCACTTAAGGGCTCACCAACCTTTTAGAAGCTCTTTATAAGTTGGCAAGCTGTAGGACTCTCTTTCCATTTCATTGTGAAAATGGTTTTACTCATTTTTTTTCAATCCAAGAGAGATTAAAAGGTATTGAACTGAGAAGTGAATAGCAAAGGAAAGTGGGGGCAATTCAACTGCAGAGTGAGCAATTTGTGGATTTTGTAGACTTTTTACAACAAAGACACTGCAGAAGTTTTAGCTAGGTTTGAAAAAAGAGGGAGGAAAAGGAGGCAAATTTAAGACTCCAGTTGGGTGTCACAGATGGTACACTAAAATTGCAAATGAATGCCACTCTGTAATCATGAAGGCAGTAATCTTAATCTCACTTAAAGGGACACCAGCACCCTACTTAACAATTTGCCTTTTTATTTAAGTGTTCTGTACCAGGCTTTTGCCTTTTTGCAGATTGGTTATTCTTTGTCCTTTATCCCAGTTTCCTGTCTACTTAATATACGTGGAGTAGATTTTTATCATTGGAGCAGATGACTCTCAGGGTTTGTGCCAGAAAAGAATACACAAACTAAACCTTTATTCTAGGTGAGATGGGTAAAAAAAAAAAAAATCCTGTCTTGTTCTCTGAAGGAAAGTAAAGTCATCCCTGAGTAATCTCTAGAGGACCTTCAAACAAATTGCATTGGCCTTCTCTTCTCTTCTCACTGCTCTTCTCGTACCTAAGTACTTAAACACTGCTTTTTTTCATGGGTCACCTTAAATATAAAACTTGGGACCACCACCACCTCCTCCCCATGGAAGAATAAAGAGAAAAGTCAACTCAGGCTTAGTTTCAGGACCGACTTACCTTTAGGGAACTGTGCTTCAAATCCCATTTATAAAAGCTAGCAAAAGTTGTAAATTATACATTAAATATGTTGCAAGATATATATATTATATTTGTTCACAATGTAAAAACAAAAACAAAAACAAAAAAAGTCATGCTGGTCCAGTAAAGCAAGTCTGAAGCTTGACAGAACTGCAAAGATCATTTCACTCAAGAGTTTGAAACTCTAAGCACTAGAAAAGCACTATGCTTGGGATTAGGGCATAGCCCAAAATATCATCTTGAAATGTTCAGAAGTGTTCATGTTTTATTTCTCTACATATGCTAACATTATCAGGTGGGACGAAGATGGTTGTATGTTCCCTTCCAAATGATACACATTATGTACATTATTGCCACCCTCCCCAACTCCATTTCTCTCTGCATAACACAATGTTATTGGCTAGTTAACTGTGGAGTAAAGCTTCTGACATGAGTACAAAGGTTTCTTCTCGGGTGCTTTGAAGGTAGGCAACATCTTTCCTCTCAGGGGGCCATTCTCTCAGCTTACAGAAAGCTGAGCTGGGGAGTTCTCTTTTGTGAGTCAGTCTTTGTAGGATGAACCCAGAAAAACCATGTAAGCGCCAAGACTTGTCCACCTAGAATTTTGCAGGATTGAGTCACATGTCTGTCTTTGTCACCAATAAGGGGCACCAGGGCAAAAGTCACATCTGACTTTTCACACACTTTTGACTATATGATAGTAGATCTTCAAATACCAATCATCCCATCAGGGCAGTTACTGTGGAGGGCAGAACTGACAAGAATATCATACCTGGCTGAATGCTTAATGACCCAGTTCAGAAGTAATATCATATTAGCAACTCAACTGTCTAACTGGGACAGGGAAACATCATACCATCCCTGCTAGAGGATCAAAAAAAAAAAAAAAAACAGCTGCATTGGAATAAATTCAACGAGGAGACATGAACTGTGACTTCTGGAGATTCCAGAGATTCTTTGTTTGAAAAATAACATTGTGAAGAGACAGAGAAGAGAACTTGATTATCTTGCTTGCATACATGAGTAATAAATGTGGCACTACAATTTGGTAATATCCACCATAGAATATTTATGGTACCCATGATTTACAAGGCACTGTGATTTACTGAACCATTCTGAACTTTCTTTTCTGACCTAGTCCACATGTTCAGAAGTGTGATAATTAAGGTCTATGGATAAACCAATTTATTTTTCTCACTGTAGATAGGAATTGCTGATTTTATTTTTCTTTAAAGATTTTATTTAAAAAAAAAAGATTTTATTTATTTATTTGACGGAGAGACAGAGCAGGGAGGGGCAGTGGAGGAGGGGAAGAAGGACAAGTAGACTCCCTGCTGAGCTGAGCCAGGAATCCTTTGGGGCTCCATCTCACAACCCTGAGATCATGACCTGAGCCAAAATAAAGAGTGAGATGGTTAACTGAGCCATCCAGGCACCCCCGGAATCTCTGATTTTAAAAACTCAATTTGCGGGCACCTGGGTGGCTCAGTGGTTGAGCATCTATCTGCCTATGGCTCAGTTCGTGATCCCAGGGTCCCGTGATCAGTTCCTGCATCAGGCTCCCCACAGGGAGCCTGCTTCTCCCTCTGCCTATGTCTCTGCCTCTCTGTGTGTGTCTCTCATGAATAAATAAATAAAGATCTAAAAAAAAAAAGCCACCTCCATTTGCTATCTCTACATTTCTGAGTCTAAGTTTTCCATAAAGCAAGGATATCTAGTCTGAGTATTTTTAAAATTTAGTGTCCAGCTCAGCATATATTGCATATAGCATAAAAGCAATGCATAAACATGAGATCAATGCAAGGCCAGTTGTCATTTAATAGATGAGAATTTCTGGAAAGGCACCAAAAGGGTTAGATGAACTTTTTTAACCTCTCCTGAGTTCCCCTCACTTAGCATATAGTAAATGAAGACTGAACTTGATAAATGTTAAATAAAAGGTAATAGCTTAAAATGCTAAAGACAAGGTCTCTTATGTTTACTGATCTTGATCTCTGTAACATGGAGAATGCATCATGGTCATCCTCATGGGAGCAAGTACGTAGAAATCCAAGAAGGCAACAAAGAAATGGTAGGGCTCACAGATTAATCACATGCATGAGTACATGTACACACACACACACACACACACACACACAATTCTGATAGCCAGTTTTTACAACAGTAACATGGAATGTCATTATCTCATAAGCAGATCCTGGAAACAGCCTACTTGAATTCTATCTAAATAATCACTTGGGAGTATCTTTAAAACCTAAGGATTTCCGATTTTGGTGGCAAGAGGCATATAATGGGCTCTAAATCAGTTTAGGATGGTTAGGCTGCAACAAGAAGGGATCCATGTGCGGACCCGGGTCATTTTATTATAATTTCTGGTGCCTAACCCATGAGGTGCAGTCACTGAGAAAATGACTATGAACTGTGTCTATCTACAAAAATACTAATTCTGTTTTTCTTTTTCTTTTCAATCCCAGGAGGTGAATTAGTTATCCCTCTTCTTGTAGAAGACCCTTTAGCTACCCCTCCTATTGCTACTCGTGCACCTTCCATTACACTCCCCCCTACCTTTCGCCCCCTCCTCACCATTATTGAGACCACCAAAGATTCCCTGTCCATGACCTCTGAGGCGGGGTTACCTTGCTTGTCGGACCAAGGCAGCGATGGTTGTGATGATGATGGCTTGGTGATATCTGGGTATGGCTCAGGGGAAACCTTTGACTCTAACCTGCCCCCTACTGATGATGAAGATTTTTACACCACCTTCTCCTTGGTAACAGATAAGAGTCTTTCCACTTCAATCTTCGAAGGTGGCTACAAAGCACATGCGCCCAAGTGGGAATCCAAGGACTTTAGACCTAACAAAGTCTCCGAAACTAGTAGGACTACTACCACATCTTTGTCCCCTGAGCTGATCCGCTTCACAGCTTCCTCCTCGTCTGGGATGGTGCCCAAATTGCCAGCTGGCAAAATGAATAACCGTGATCTCAAACCCCAGCCTGATCTAGTCTTGCTTCCGTTGCCCACTGCCTATGAGCTAGACAGCACCAAACTGAAGAGCCCACTAATTACTTCCCCCATGTTCCGTAATGTGCCCACAGCAAACCCCACGGAGCCGGGAGTCAGACGGGTTCCGGGGGCCTCAGAGGTGATCCGGGAGTCGAGCAGTACAACAGGGATGGTCGTCGGCATTGTGGCTGCTGCTGCCCTCTGCATCTTGATCCTCCTGTACGCCATGTACAAGTACAGGAACAGGGACGAGGGGTCCTATCAAGTGGACGAGACGCGGAACTACATCAGCAACTCGGCCCAGAGCAACGGCACGCTCATCAAGGAGAAGCAGCAGAGCTCGAAGAGCGGCCACAAGAAGCAGAAAAACAAGGACAAGGAGTATTATGTGTAAAAACGACAAAAAACAAACAAACAAACAAACAAACAAAAAAACAAACGACACCGCTAACAATCACGCGAGTTTGTGACACAGAATTATTCATATGTGAATCTATTACACGCGCTTGGAAAAGGAGATGCCACAGATGTCAGAACTGTCATCACTACGAGATGGGGTGTACCATGACTACGGTGGGGAAAAACCATCTTTAAGAGGACACGCGCGCGCACACACACAAAGGTGTACCTACCTGTAGAGTTCAGCTATGGCTGCTTTGACTTCAGTCATCGCTCGGAGACAGGACATTCTCTCTGCCCTGCTGTATCATAAAGCACACACTTTGCGCTCTGGAGCAAGCAGTTGGCTCCCCCACTTTCGCGGACTTGGAAGCTTCCTTCTCTTGAGGACTTTTCACCCAAGGTAGAAGACTTCATGGCTTACTTGTTCCATAACTCCAAGTGAGTCTGTAATGATCTTTGTGAAGCTTGACTGTAACAATGTTCTCTCTCTTCTTTTTTTTTTTTCCTTTTTTTTCTTTTGGTTTAATTATGTAAAAAACAAAAACAAAAAAAATTTAAAAAAAATTAAAAACAAACAAACAAACAAAAAACAAACAAACCCACCCTTATCTGGTTTTGGCCAGTGTACATGTAACTTTTCAAGATCTGAGGGGAAAAAAAAAATGGCTTTTGGGTTTTTGTTTATTTTTTTGAGAATGACTGGACATAATGAAGAAGAAAAAACAAACAAACAAACAAAAAAAACTCAGAAAATGAAAGTAAGAGAGACTATTGCCATATGAACTCAAAAGCTACCATGGTGTTCACTCTACATATCAGGTTGTGGTCTTTCTAGAATCTGTTGTTTGTTTCCTATACGATGCTTTGCCGAACACATAGCAAAATCACATGATGGATGATAGCATTGATTTGAAAAGCTGGTCCCTCAGGATCTAATTTCAGAATTTGCCACCCAAACCCTGAACAGATGGGTTTAGGGCTGGTTATATCAGAGCTATTGGCTTTACTTAACAATATTGTTCCTGTTCATTAGCCCAGCCAAATTGTGGTGAAGGAGAAAGCCCCACAAACTAAAACACAGCCTTTCCTAGGGAAGGTGAAGAGGGGGTGGGCTGGATCTGTGACTGATTGAAATGCATGTAAATGTAAAAGACAAGACAATACTGTAAGTCTGTTAAAGAATCAAAACAGACAGTAGGGGAGTTCAACGTGTGATGGAACCACAAAAGGTCACACAAGCCAAACGCGGCATGACAGAGTGCAAAATACATAGTTCTTCCCCCGCCCCCAACATGATGTTTTTCATAGTGGTTTAATTTTGTAGCCTGACACTTATGGATAACTCTGTCCTTCCATTTGCTCACATCTCCCTTCACCCATCTTTTCTAAAAACAAACAAATAAATAATAAATGAATAAAGCTGCTGTGACACACAAAAAAAGGAATTTAATAGTATAATATATATATAAATAAATATATATACAGATATATTTATCATGGTATGTTTGATGGGATGACTGAAACAGGAAAACTGTTAAAGTCTTGAAGTGGAATGAGAATGTTGTTTTAAAAGAAAATAACAAAACAACAAAAAAGTAAACCTTAAAATGTGAAGAAAGTGTGAGTTTTAGTTTTGTCACAGTTAACTGTGTCAAAGAGAATAAACAATCTTCTCAGATTTTGTTTACATATTTTACTACATTTTTGCTGGTATAATTCCTTAGCCACCTATGTACATACTGCTTTAAGAACTGTTCTTTCCTTTATATTGGTTTGTTTCTGTTTGTTTGGTTTATATTCCAGTTGTCTGTCTTTTCTTTTTGAAAAGAGGAAACAATGTACAGAATAACTAACTGGTTGTGTGGCCATAGCGATCCAAAAAGCAAGAGACAAAGCAAGACAAATATTCACACAAAAATGAAGTACGTCTTCTGGAGGGTCCGATATATACAATTTCTTTTGTACAGATGAAAACCAATCAGCTGCTTAGATTTAGAAATCTACTCTTGCTGGTCTTTGTAAGTTGCATGAATATTTGAGAAATATCTTAAAACACGAGGCAAAAAGCGCAATCTAAACGATGGTAGCCTTTACTAATGTGTATGGAAAGGTGTTCCTCATTACCTGATATTTAAATGTGTTACAATTTTTGGATTTTTTTTGTTGTTGTCATTAAAAAAGACAGGATTATAAAGAGATATCAAAGCACGATTTTAGATAACTTAAATGGCCCAACCTATATGAAGTTGATTATATCTCGATGTCTGTAAAAGATTGCTGTTTTTGGAGTCTTGAGGTCTTGTGAACTGATTTCCTGCTTTCTTTCTTTACATTTTTTTTTATTTGAGTAAAAATACATTTGTTATATTCCTTTTAGTGTAAGTTTCTATTTGGACAATTTTATGGGAACATGTGCATTCTGTATGTGAGCTTCTATCATATTCCTGTTGTTTTATGAGCAGACTCTTAAGGAATTTATTTTATGATGTTGTGAAGTTACTGCTTTTTTCTTTTTCCTTTCTCTTTTATTTCATATTTGCATTTTCGTTCAAGGATATGCTTAGCAATAAAATGTTCTTCCCAAAACCTTGTATGATGATGCATTGTTATTTTCTGAACACTTGGTAAAAGATCTTGCACTGGAGCTAAACATGTCCTTATTAAAAGCCACGTAAGCTAGGACCAGGTGAAATAAAATATTCTAACCAGTTACTAGTTACTTATATAAACTTATCAAAAGTGGCATATTTATGGGCTAAACAAGTATTGTCTGTCAACTGAGGCATTGTTATTTAGATTGCTATAATAAGGTAAGCAGGAGGTAAAACATTTCTGAACAGGTAAGACGACAGAACCATTGTATTCTGGGAAAGATTATTGGATACTATATATCTTTTTAAATGTTTGATAACTTTTAAGTATTTGCTGCAAGTCAACAAACTTTGAACCTTTTTCTAGAACCTTGTTTGTATAATGCCTTAAATCCTGGAAAGCTTTAGATGCCTTCTCTCCAAGTTTCCTGGCATATTGAATTAAAAAACAAACAAACAAAAAGAAAGTCCTACTAAATCCAAAAGCAAAATATAAATGAATGCTTACATTTTAACAACTTCTTCTGGATTTTTGTGTTATAAAATTCTGCAAACAGTCATTACAGTTGGCACCTTCCTCATATATCAGGTGTCCTTGATTTGCTGGTTCCCTACGCACATGGTTACTTTGCCAATTGGATAATCCATCATGATATTCTACATTTTTCACCATGATCCTGACATGTCAGTTAACTGAACTGGTGTACATTGTCCATAGATAGGTTATCAGTTCTCAAAGAGAAAAGCAAATTTAGTTAACCCTGTTCCTTCAGATTTCATCAGTGGAATGGTTATGCTATTGGCTCTCATGAGAATGGAAAAAAAAAAGGCTCAATAATGTCAAACTATGGGAAGTTCCTTTTTTTGCTGCCTGTCTCAGATAATTTGTGTAAATTAAAGCAATCATTTATCAATCCCCATAACGTGCCAGATACCATGTTAAGTGTTTTGGATCTGTATAGTGCCTCTTTATCCCTGAGTGGTAGATAGTATTTTCCTCATCTTAAAGACGAAGAAACAAAGACACAAAGAGCTTAATGACAACTTAGCAAATACATTTCTAATCATGTTAGAAGTCAGGCCTTGCTGTCATGGAGGTCAGAGGGATGTCATGGATTGGGTAGAGTCACTGAAACCAAACAGGGTGGGGTTGGAACCCCACCCAGCCAGACTCTCACCATATATGGGCAAATTCACAGTCTCTGAAATTTGGCTTCCTTACGTACATACATACATACATGACACCTCAATGACCTTGCCTTGCAAGAGTGTTTGGGGAAAAAAGTGAAATAAAGTGTTTTAATTGGATTGGTATAGAGTAAGTGCTCAAAGCAGTTATGCTCCTTTACTTTGAGTCCTCTGCTATTCTGTATACAATAGCTGCCTTCTAGAATTAGAGATCCTGCACTAAATTCTATGCAATAAAAATATTCAATTGTTGTCAGTGTTGGGAAGTCACAACTTGTTGTAATAACAAAACTAATCTTTTTCTAGTCCTGTACTTTGATTGTGGGCATGACTGCAGCTAGTAAATATGTGGCATTGAAATATGGTAGCATACATCTGTCTGAGAGCAAGTGGCCAGAAGTTGGGGTATGTAGAGGGAGTCTAGATTTGAGAAACTTGCCAAAGAAATTGAGAAATTTGAGAAATTTCCAAATAATGGTTATGTAGTAGGTTCATCAAGATCTAAGTGGCATTTGCTCAGAAGTATTGGTTAAAGTTCATCAGCAGAAATCCTTTTACATGATCTTTCCATGAAGAAGTGTTGAGACTACATCATCTCTTTTCTATGTGTTTAACTTTGGCTATCTGGAAAGTTGGAATCTGAAGCTTAGTTAAGATCTTGGATCTGAATCCTTAGTCTATCCTTTACTAGCTGTGAAACTTTGATTAAGGTGCGCAGTGACTCTAGGCTCATCTGTTAAATTGAAATGATATTGTCTTCCTCTTAGTTCTAGTCTATATGAGCTGATATATGTATGAATATAAGTGCCTGGTTATAAACAGAGTGTCTGGCCTGTGGCCCTCAAACAATAATGGCTAATATTGCCTTGGATATTGGATATTATCCTAGAAAAAAGAAGCCAAACTTCCTAAAAATTTAGAAAGGATACATATTGGAGAGCCCCAGAGCAATCACTTTACTCTGTCATCTAAAATCATAATCATAATAGTTGGGACTCCTGGGTGGCTCAGTTGTTGAGCATTTGCCTTCAGCTCAGGGCATGATCCCAGATTCCAGGATCCAGTCCCACATCAGGCTCCTTGTGGGGAGCCTGCTTCTCCCCCTGCCTTCTCTCTCTCTCTCTCTCTCTGTGTCTCTCATAAACAAATAAATTAATTAAATAAATAAATCTTTAAAAAATATATTAAAAAAAACAAAAAAAAATCATAATTGTTTTTCTTCCCTTACCATTGAAACCACATGGATTCTTGAGTGTTCCACCAGAAATGTACTTACCCCTATAAAACCCGTTACTTCAATCAACTCCTTCAGAGTAGGGTGCATGAGAAAAATTCAAATGGTAGCCTGTTCCATCCCTCATAGGACAGTCTTGCATCCCTTCCAAATTAGAGTTATCATTGACTTAGACACCCTTTCAAAACTCTATATTGGCTAGTATATAGTCCAAAAACCACTTTAAGCAATTACTCTTTTGATAATTCAACCAACACTTGCTGAGCACTTCTGTGTCATCCAATCTACTATTGGCTTTTGTTACTTTGTTTCAATGAAGGCAGATAATGGATATAGGCCTTTTGTCTGGTATAGAGCCCGGTAGGCCAAAGTTCTCTTCACCTTATTCAAGTTGAAGTTTGATCTTTCTCCAAAGATATTCAAGCCCTGTACTTGTCCCAGTTCAATTAAAATCTTGATGATTCTGTTTGAAATTGGTTTATTAATGTATTTGTTGGACATTGACTAAATGATTACTACATCTTAAATTGAGAGATTTAAGAAGGAGTTTATGACATACTAAAGGAATACAAATAATGATACTACAGTGACTACAAATTAGCTGTCAAAAAAGTACAAACTATATTCTTTGGGGGGATTCAGAAGAAATTACATAAGTGAGGACTTCAGAGCGGAGGTGATTCATTAGATAAAACTTGAAAAAACTGATAAGCAGAGCTTATCAGGGCTACATGTCATTCCAAGCAAAGCATTGAAATGGAAGCAAGTAAGATCAAAACCATAATTTGGATGGATCACAGATTGTGTAGAAAGTGGATTATGGATGGTATAGCTCAGAAGGTTTTTTCAGGATCAAAATTAGCTCCTGCCTGCATGGCTATCCAGCGCCAAAAAAAAAAAAAAAAAAAAAAAAAAAAAGGCATAAAAAAATAGAAACTAGGCAATCACTTCCCTAAGTCTTTCATTTTCCAAGGAAATACAAAATTCAGTTGCCTGCTCATTAGCAAAGTTTTCCCTTCACTGCCACAAGTTCTCTGCTTCCAGGCTCTAGCTTGGATCATGCCCATGCCAGCTCACACTGAGATTTCCACTCCTCTCCTGTGTTTCTAGCTTCAGTTTCCTGCGGCAGCTCATCAATCAAACACTGAGAAGCCAAGAGACCTTCAAGAAACCTTGTACCCTGTTATTGATATGCATTATTTTGCTTTTTTTAAAATTTAATCTGGCTTCTCATTGTGATCAAGAAAATAGTATAATAAACCCTCATTTATCTATCATCTGACTTCAAGCAGTATTAATATTTTGCTGTTCTTGTTTTATCTATGCCCATCTTCCCATGGAAAAAAATATCTTTTAATATTACATAGTGTTAAAACAAACAAAAAATGGCATTGAAAGAGTAGTTATTATTGGGTCTCTTGACCTGATTACTCGTTCATAATCAATGTGTTTTAGAGTAACTAACCTAGCATTCTTTCTGATGGACAATTAATGGCATGATTCCAGTTCTTTATTCAATGACAACATAAAAGAGCAGATTAACTGCTAAGTAGACTCTTCACTGTTTAATGAGATTGCTGAAAAACTGAAAGGATTTTTCAGCTTGTGCATACTTCAACTGTTCTCAATCACTTTTTGAAATGAATAAAAATGTCTATAGATTATATACAGCTGCTACCTTTTATGAAATATGACCATCTTGGAACAGAATCTATGTTTTCCTTCAAGTGAGTGGGTGAGAGAGAATACTATTCATTGGCACCTGTAGAAGCCAAGACATACTCACCTTTACCTCTAGAACTGTGATCAAAAATCTACTAGCATATTTCCCTAGGGTTATATTCATGCATTTGTAATACATATAACTACACTGAATTTGCATGCATCTACATAGAAGAGATAGTTCATTAGCACATTTCCAAGTTATAATTCTATTACTGCTCCACTGTCTGTTGAAAGTGGTGAACTTCTCTTCTTTGCTCTCGCTCACCTGTAATTTTTGACCTACGATTTTCATCATAAAAGTATCATGAAAGAGAGTCTGAGACACAGAATGTTAGTTATTTATAGACTATTTGAAAGTATATGCTCTATCACAAAGTCATAGTTAAGTGTTAGGGAAAATGGTTAGAACCACCACAGCCTTTTTTCGTGGTTTCATGGAGCGTAATGAAAAGGAGAATAGTAGGTTTCAATGAGTCAACAGTTTTCCTGTCCCTGTGCTTAGCAGTTCATCCCATTTTATTTTTTATTTATTTATTTATTTATTTATTTATTTATTTATTTATTTATTTATTTATTTTTTGGAAGGGAGACCTAGCAGAGCACACATAAACATTCTTCTAAAAACAACAGCAACGAGATACCTGGGTGGCTCCGTTGTTGAGCATCTGCCTTCGGCTCAGGGCATGATCCTGGGGTCCTGGTTGAGTCCTGCATCCTGCTCCCCACAGGTAGCCTGCTTCTCCCTCTGCTTATGTCTCTGCCTCTCTCTGTATCTCTCATGAATAAATAAAATCTTAAAAAAAAAAGAAAAAGAAACCAGTAACATGAGGGTCCTCTAG